ATGTTTTGGGTTTTGTGTGCGAACCGGTTCGTCCGTGTTTGTGTGTGTTCGTTTCGTAAAGCTTTCGTACATTATTTTGTCTATCGGTGGGTAGGTAGGTAGGTGTAAACGTGGGGTCAACCGCTTCCAGCAACCGAAAAGCCGAGCCAGCCGAACGACAGAGTTGACAAGACGAGAAAAAGCCGACCAAATCCAGATCCAGAGAACAAACCCGCCGCCAGCCTTCCCACCTGCATAGAAAAAACAAAGAATTAACACAAAAAGCCCTCTTTCGTATAATTCCTCTCTTAAAGAGCGCTGTCTTTGGTTCTTACTCCGGTTCCCGAGGAGAAGGCCGACGAAGGCACGGGCTGCTGCTGAGATGGACTGGGAGGGTGGACTGTGGCTTCGGTGTCGCCAACCTGCTTGCGCTCCGAGACCTCGAGGTCCTTAAGCCGTTTTTTCATGTATCTCAGTGACGATGGCAGCGTCAATCCTTGGGATGCGGTTCCTGGGCTTCCGCTACCCCTCATGACTGCTGGTTGCTATTGCAGAGGTTCTGACGAACTTGACAACCTATTGAGGTGCAGGTAGACATCGGTTCCGTATCTGTTACGCAAAAAAGGTTAGCATGCATAAAGCCCCAAATAGTACAACCCGGGGGTGACTCACCCTTCCATGCTGATCAACTTAAGGTCGCCACCAAAGTATCTCGCATACAAGCGCGAAATGGGAAGTCCGTAGCCGAAACCGGCCATGGGGGCCTTGAAATCGCTCTTGTCGAAGTCGGGGTCCAGGTTCGGTGTGCGATCGACGGTGGTGTACATGTAGGTCCAAACAAGCGGGATAGCGCTACGGGGGATACCGCCTCCCTCATCCGAGATCTTGATGGTGATGTCTTCCTTGCCCTCAGCAACAATGACCTTGGTGACGGGAAATTCCTGCTTGTCCTGGCCGTGGGTCTCGACGACGGCGCGCAGCGAGTTCTTGAGCGTCTCGAAGAGCATGTGCGACAGATGCCCTGGCACATACATGAAGTTGAGGTTGGGGTTGCAGACCAGCTGGATCTTGGGAGCCTCAAAGAGACCGTAGTGGTCCTCGCAGACGAATCGGGCGTTCTCGATGGCCTCCTGGGCGAGGTCCTTGACATAGGTCTTGGTGCAGATAATACCGACATATGAGGGATCGCGGTAGTGGTTCTGGTCCGTCAGGGCGATGTGCTGCCCAATAAGCATTCTTATTCCTATGCGCGACATGTAGAAACGGTCGAGGAAGGACTGGATGTTGTGGTCGATCTGCATGCGTTGCCTCTTGCGCTTGTATTCCAGGATGCCCTGGGCCATGGTGGTGACGACACTGTCGTGCCGCCTCTTAATCTTGTGCAGAGTCTGCGCAAACTTCTGGTTGTAAAGGTGTAGATCGGGAGGCCAGTCCCCTGTATCATCGACCATAGCGAAGTATCTCCTCGACGCCGAGAACTTTTTGTGGTTGAGTCCGTTCACGTAGTTTCCTCCGTTGTGTGAGGTGTATTGACCCTCCTCTATGCTTGGGTTTGGTGTCGCTTCTGGTAGGTAGGCGTGTTTTCCGGTTCTTGACGGCCTCATCAACCGCTCCCTGACATCTTTTGCTAGGTGTGGCCGTGGCAGTTGTGTGATTTCCTAAATTTGACCGGTTAGACATTCACACATGGTGGGACAAAGGGAGATAAGAGGAGAAGTGGGAGTTGTGTGCGCACCTCGAACGACTGGGCGTACCAGGCTTGGACCTTCTTGACCGAAGGCATCTCGTTAAGGCCATCTGGAAGGTTATCAAGTTCCTGGACTCTGTGGGCCAGACGGATGGGGAGCTCTTCAGCAAGGAACTGGGAGGCGCGGAACAAGGTTCCTGGATTGTATGACAGCACCGGTTAGCAAGGCGCTTCATAGAGTGGAAGACAGAAAGGCTTACCGGTAGAAGGCTTCTCGCCGAACTGGACCATCTGGCGCAAGCTGACTCCGGTAGCAGGAAAGCTTGCATAGTGCCGGATGGTGTCCATGAGCTTCTCGCTCATCTTCCACGACATGTTGGCTGGTGGTTACGGGCCTTCGCCGCTATCACTGTCGCCAATTGATGTCGTAGAGAGCAGTGGAGTGCTGGAGTGCAGGCCGGCTGCCGTGCACCATGCAGAAAGGGAAAACTGGGCTTCGAGGGCGTTGCTTGTCGTTCCGGATGGGTCGGATCGCAATTGGGTATTCTCGATCAGGGCGTTTCTTGGGTAGGTAGTGAGGGTTGGCTATGTGGTGTGGTTGAAGAGGAGTGACTGGTTCGTTGTCGGAGGAAGATGGACTTTTGCTGCGGGAACTGCACGGTGCCTGGTGCGGGTTGACGGCTTTTGATGGGTACAGCTACGGCTATCTAGAGGTACCGGACAAGACGGCGTCGGATGTTGTGGGCGAGAGGTACTGGCAGCTAGGGTTCTGGTACGCTCCCTGTAGGACAAGCCAGTCGGGCGCAAAGATGGCCCAGGGTCGACACAACCGAGGCAAGCGGATCCGGCGACAATGACGCAAGTGGATTTTGTTAGTGGTGATGGTGCTGGCGATATGGGAAACGATATCCTGTTCAGGATGGTGTTGGCGGCGTCTTATGGAAGGGTTGTCGCCAATTCACGCGCAGTGTCAAACAACTCCCTTGGGAGAAGAAAGGGAGAGGAAATACGACAAGAAGAGTCCAAGAAAAGAAAAGGAAAAAAGCAAAAGCGCAGGAAAATGTTTAGGTAGGCTGGTACTCGGGTTATAGGGAATGGAGACAGGTCGAGTTCCTAGCAGAACTGAAAGAGAGTCAGTTGGTTGTTCATGTGCCTCAGCTTCTTAGTCACCGCACTAACAAGGGCTCCATGTAGCCGGGGGACGGGAAACAACAGTCAACAGTCAACACCAGGGCAGCAATTGGCGGGATCAGCATTGGATGCCCACCGTCAGACACAGAGAAGCATGCACCCAGTGCGTTCAGTGTCTGTTACTGCAAGCTACCACAATGTACTTGCACAGCGACTGTGTCTTAACAACCAACAATCATGCAGCCGGGCTGGATGCACCACTCCCGTCCCTCCCGTCCATAACAGAGCACAAGTGAAAGTTGGAAGTGGAAGCACAAGGCTCGCCTATCTTTGGCTTAAAGGTCAAAACTCCCTCTCGCCCGGCGGCGGTCACTTTTGCGATGCCAGTATCGTACGGCACCCCTCGAGTCAAGGTTCCATTGCGTTTGTGTTCTCTTCCCTGTTCCTGATATCCCGTCCTTCTATTGGGGTTTCTGATTGTCTACCCCAGACCGAAAAGGCGGAGAATATCGGATATGACAACCTCAACAGTCATTCTTCAACACCAATCTCTGCCGAGGAACACAGCTGGAATCGTCAATCATGAGCCTTCCGGGCCTCACTCCAGGTCTACAACTAATGAGTCTCTGAGAGCCCTGGGGTTCAGTTTGGGTTGCGACTTGCGTTCCAGCGGCGGAAGCCGGCTCGAGGCCGGTAGAGGTAGTGTAGCTTACCCCACACTCCAGCATGTCCCCAAGACACGCGCTGCAAACACGGGGACCCCTCCGTTCCGCAGACGGTAAACACAGTGAGGAGCTGATGTGACATGGAGAGAGACTGGGCATTGGAGGAACTTGGGTGACCTTCACTTCCTGACAGTCAGCCGCCGAGACGCGGACAGTTCGGCGTTGCGAATATCAGATCTTCTTGGATCGACGAGGCAGTTTCAAAAGCAAGTTCTCAGAAGTCATCAAGAGCTTTACAGTATGGGTTCTTGGTCTTCAGGTCCATTCTGCATGTGGTACTACTGTAGTTGAGACCAGGGGAAAGGAGAAGCCGAGAGACGGGTTGAACGAACATGTGATTGAAAGTTCAAAGACATTCAAATACCATTTCATAGGTCACTTTCTATTCACGAACAGGACGGGAGCTTTGACAAACGGATACCTCTTTGAACCTCCACTTGACGTCATGGTCAACTGCGTGCTCGGAGTTTCAGACGAACTGTTGAAAAGTAAACAAACCAGGAGCCAAACAGCCTGATATCAAAACGTAACTCGTACATGGTGGCTTTACAATGGTGAGATACTGAGCCAACATATCTCAACTCTCCTGAAGCCTATACACTCACTCCTCTCCACCCAAAATTCCAAGCCTCAAGAGACAATCATGGCGGGGCATCTCGGACGGTTAAAAAGTGACAGCCGATTCGTCCGCTCTTTCGGTTCTTTCTCTTTTTGCGCCAAAAAACACAATTCGGCAACATTCGGGTTTATTTCTCACTGGCTGTGCGCCGCCGTTCCTTGTCTTTGATTGTCCATGACTCGCCGGGCTCACCTGGCCCGGAGTCCGGGGGCTTTCCACTCACCTTGTGGGGCTCACCGTCTGGAGATCTGGCGCTGGAGTGTTGGCTGTCCGGGGAACAGTTACCTAGGGAGCTCGAACCACCTACTGTTCCAGTGCCCGAACAGAAAATGTTTCACTCTGTGGCCCATAGCAACTGAACGGAAGGGAAACCTCACCCATGACAACCTCAAATGACAACAACACTGAAATAACAACAACGTACAAAAGTTCCCTTTTTGTCTGGTGACCTTCCATTCTCTCTTGAATAAGCTTTCCTGGGTGATCCAACAAACAAAGAAATACCTACCCTCAGCTGGCAGCCAACAGCACAGCGACACGACGGTGGAATTGCTCCACTATCTTGACGGAGCAGAGGAGCCTGTAAAACTTCCAAGACATCTTCTCCAACTGTTTTGGGCTTCAAAGTCCAGCAACGATATCAAACCGAATATTCCAGCCTGTGAGAAAGGAAGCCAAGCAGGGCGTTAAGTTCGGGATAGCGAAATGCTACAAAAACATCGCCGATACCTCCACTGCTAGTCACTCATCAATGACGTGTTGACAATCTGATACGCCCTTTATTCGAAAAACATAACACTTCATTGGGTGGTTGCATTGGCACATCGCATCGATCCCATGAGGACCCTCAACCATCACGATGCCCGATGATGATGAACCAGACCACCGACGGTCAGCGACGGCACCAGCCTATCCGGATCCGGACTCAGACTTGGACTCGGACCTAGATTCGATACCACCGCAACCCAGATCCCCATCTCACCCCCCGTTGCCAAGTCTTACAACAACAACAGCAACAACAGGTAGTCCGGTACGTTCCACTTCGCAGACCTCTCCCAAAGGAAAAGGACTACGATCCCCTCTTGGCTTCGGCTCTCCCCCACAAGGCTCCTCCTCAAGAAATGTCCAACAACAAGTCATCTCACATCCATCTTATCCACGTCCCCAGACACCACCCAACAACCCTCAGAGAGCCCAAAACCGCCATGGTCTCCATCGACACGGCAGCCGCTCACCTTCACCCTCACCGTCACCCCGTCACCTACCGCCACCAGCAGCAGCTTCGACGCTCTATCATCTCGTCGGAGGTCTAGGCCTAGGACCCTCCTCACCACTCTCTCCCTTCCGCCGGCAATTCTCCGCCTCTCTCCAGGCCGTCCGCTCATCGTCCCGAGCCCCCAGCTTCGCCAGCATTGCTGGGTCCCGTCCCAGTACCAGTTATGGTTCCGGCTCCGGCACCGGCACCTTCTTCACTCACGTCAACGACAGCCATGGCACGGTTCACCACCTCGCTATCAAGGACGACGACCACAACCTCTCTTTTCATGAAGCCGATGATGAACTCAGCGATGATGACCAGCACCCGCCGGTACGGGTGGACACAGCAGCAGCAGCTAACAAGACAGAAGAAAACGACCACGACAACCTCACGCAAGGCAGCAAAGACATGCTGGTGGAACGGTTGACGGATTTGATTCACTATTTGCAGGAGACCAAGGACGACCAAACGACGGCTACGAACCAGAGTGGTGTTCTTAGCGATGTCAGCATCAGTGAGTTGCACGCCAAGGTGGATGAGATGGAGGCTGTTCTTACTGGGAAGGGAACGGGGACTGCGGTTGGGGATGCTTTGAGAACGATGAAGCGGCCTCCTGTTGGCCCTTCAGCGAGGGTACCGAGACGTGGTGGACAGCGACAAGACGAAAATGAAAATGAAAACGAGAGCGATGGAGACGAGGAAGATGAGGAACATGACCAAGAGAAACAGCCTCACTCGCCTCTAAAGGATATGCTCGCATTTGCGTCATCAGCAGCAGCTGCTGCCGCCCCGGGCTGGTTAGCTAGAAGCTTTTCCGGCTCGGAACCGTCACAACCTGAGTCACGGGCGCACTCACCATCGCCTTCTTCAAAAGTTCACTTGAAGCTGGCGGAGGCTGCGGAGATTAAACCTTCCGCTGTTGGTGCTGCTGGTACAGCAGCAGTGTCTGTTGCCGAAGTGGAAGTGGATGTGGAAGTGGAAGCAAAGAAACGATGGGATGTCGTTGAGACAGAGCGCATCGCGGGCGAAGCTGAGAAGCTAGCTGCTCAGTTGGAAGCAGTTTTGAAAAGCTTGGAGACGAGGAGGGAGGAGTCGAATGTAAGTTTCCATCTCACTCAAAAACACTACTGTTCGTGGGGAAGAAACAAAAGGCTAACCAACGACAAACAATAGCACGTCCACGCCCTCCTGGTAGAAAGAGCAGAAGCCGCCGCCTCTCGAATTCTTGATCTGGAGAAGGAGGTTGTCTATTTGTAAGTGCCTCATTCCTCATTCCTCATTCTCCCTTTAACCACATCCATCTCCATCCCCTTGACCATCCATCTATCTATTCGTCAATATATCTATCCCCTTGTCCACACCAACTAATGAACCAAAAATAAAACAGAGAAGAAGAAATCTCCAGCCAAGAATCCGAACTCAAACACCTCCGTCTCGAACTGCGCGCCATCGAGACCCTAGTGAACGAATTCCTCCCGCCCGTCGAGGCCGCCGACCCAGAGCTCGTCCGCAGCATCGAGAACTGGAAGGCTGATTGGAAGAAGTTGAGAGAACAAATGTTGTTGTCTAAGAGTCGTCGTAAGGGTAAGAGTAGCAACAGAAAGATTCCTGAGGAACATGATGGAGGACATGACGGGCATGACGGGCATGAGGAGGGAAGAAGGCAAATAAATGGGAAAGAGAGGAATCAGCAGCATGGGCATGAGGACCACGCGGAGGAGGAGGCTTATGCTCATGCTCGTGAGACGCATGAGACGCATGAAACGCATGAGTTATCAGTTGTCATGGAAGTTATGGAGGAGTCGGTGAGGCAGGGTCATCCTCAACAACATCAGCAGCAGCATTTCCGCAACGGCAACGGTGTTGGAGGCGGAGACGCCGATGGACAGGGAGATGACGCCATGGCAACAAGCGCTTCTCCAGCTCCAACTATCGCTCCCGCTCATGCAGTAAGGGTATCAAGGACCGGGGCTTAGGTACTCTCATCCGCGACATTCGCGACATCCTCGTCGTCACCGTCGTTGTCATCATCGTTGTCATCCTCTTTACAATCCTCATCGTATTCATCTATCGTTCAGCGAGAACGGCAGCACCAGCGGCAGGGGCAGCGGCAACGACAAGGGGAACGACACGGACGTTCACGACATCCTTAGGGGTATGTTTTTCCAGTTGATCTGGCTGGTTGGCTTGCGCTGTGCGCAAGTAACTATGTTTGTACATGTCTTATGACAAAAATTTGGGGGGGGGTTTCTAAAGAAAGGGGAAAAAATGGGAGAGGTGATGAACAAGGTTCAAAAGGGGGAAATAGCATAGCATAGCATAGCATGATTGGTGTGTGATCACGGTGTATAACGGTGTATCAAGTCAATGAAATGACATGGCATAGAAGAAACAGGATAGTATAACACAACACAGGTTTTGGTGGTGGCGTGGAAGGTTAGAAATGGAAGAAATTGACGAGTGGTTGATTGTTCTGCAGGAATCAAAGTTTGCAAGGCGAGTGAAGACAAGTCAAGACAAAAAAATGATGGCCCAGAAAGCATGGCAATACGTCTGTCAGTTGTGAACTTTTCCATTCTACCTGAACTACCTAAACTAGGTACCTAAACGCCTCGCGAGATCTGCTAGCCTGGGTTAGTGAATTAAGAGCACTTCTACCACTTCTATCACACCTTTACACCTTTCCTTTCCCCCATCTACTGTCTCCAATAGTGCAAAATACCACTCCAACCTGATGCAAAATGCCGTCGAAGTGATTCTCCAATCTACCTGCCTGCCTGCCTGCCGGTGATACAAAAATTTGTGACAAAAAGAATAAGTGCGGTGGCGTGCACATGTGGTGTGGGTAGTAGACTATGCTGTTGTTTGTTCCTGAAAAATCAAAGTCATGATGAACAAAAGGAGAAAGAAAAGAAAATTGTTCAGTAAGGGGTATGGGTATCTTTATCCACTTTGTCTTCTTTTTCGTCCTTTCCTTTCTTCCTTTTTTCTCTTTCCTTAGTTTCCTAACGATGTAAATCCAAGCCTAACCCCAACATCCTCTCGTTCAACTCACTGGCACTCTCTCTCCTCCTCCTCCTTTCTCCATCTCCGCCACCACAGAAGGCATCATCCGCCTCCGCCTCGGTGTCCGCTCCTCCCTCTCCCTCTCCATCACACTCCGTCTCCCCATCAGCCTCTCCACCACCATCCTCTTCTTCCTCTCCCCCCTGCATCATAATCCCATCTCCATCGATGCACATAATCGTGCTGCCCACCGAACTACTCCCACTCCTCCCCTCCGTCACTCCCGACGCCCCCGAGCTTGTCGACCCTTCTCCTGAGGTCCTCGGCCTTTGATTCTGTCGCGCACTAATCATCGCCTCCCTCTCCTCCTCGCTCAAAAGCCTCATCCTCAACTTCTCATCAAGCATGCTGACCAACCGTTCACTGTACTGATCCAGCAAGTTGGTGAGCATGCCCTCGCTGAGCGCCTTTTCTCCTCCTCTGTCATGACCATGACTGTGTCCACGATCGCGATCATGGCCGCAGTAGCTGTGACTGTGATGGTTCTGGTGGAGATGAGGTCTCCTGCTGCTGCGGCTACGAATCGCGCGCTCGCCGAGGGCGGCCGCGGTAAGTCGCAGTTCAGCGTCGAGCTCGGCGAGGATGTCGCCGCTGATAGCGTCGGGGCTTGCCAGCTTCTTGCGGTAGGCGCGTAGTTGGCGGCACGTCTGCTCGGTGGCGGCGCTGAGGGATCCGAAGCCGTAGCCGTTGGCGGCGCTGCTTGGCCCTGCGGATGTACTGGGGGCGGTGTTGCTTCGGAGGTTGGACAGGCTGCTCTTCTTGCGGGCGGAGGAGCGGATGGTGGAGGAGGTTGCTGTGGGTGTTGTGTCGCCGTTGATGAGCGGGGGTGATGCGCAGCGACGGTATATGCCGTTGTCCTCGGAAGGCGGGCTTTCGGATCTGCTACCTGCTCCTGAAGATGTTCGACGTAGGGCTTTGCGTTTGATTCGAATGGACCCAGTGCCATCGGGGCTGATCCGCTTCCCTGACGTTACTGGTGTGCGTGTCGTGGAAATGGGTGCGTGTTGTTGGGAGGATCGACGAGACTGTATCCGACCGGGTGAGAGACGGCGTTGTCTGCTGCTGCCGGCATGGGATGAAGATGGTCGTTGAAACTCGGCTAGCTCAGCCTTTGATAAAACCCTCCTGAGTGGCGGTCGGCTGTGCGCAGACGGATTGTTGGCCCTTGAACTGGTGGTCTTATCAGGCGAAGGATCGCGGTTCCTGGAACCAGTCACTGGAAACTGTATATCCAGCCCCCATACCATGATGGTCCCATCCTCTCCGACACTGATAATCTTTCTGCCAGCCTGCTCGCCCTCAACCATCACCACACCGTTGATGGCTTCCGTATGACCCCATTCGCGGCCCATGAAGGCCCCAGACTGAGCGTCGTATACTCGGATGGATTTGTCTGTATTGGAAATGCCAAGCAAGAAGCCCATTTCCCCCGTTGTCCCGTATCGTAGCGATTCCAAGATAACGGTCTCGGACCCTCCTTCGTCGTTGCATTTGAACGAGTTCAAGAGCCGTCCATTGTTGTAATCAAAATGACAAACTGAGCGATCCAAAAGTGATACAAAAATTGACTTTTCAAAAGGCGTTACCACCATTGAGGACGGTGAAGCCCGTAGCGTAATGACCCTGGAAGGAATGGCTGCCATGACATCAGGGTCACTCTCTTTCGAAACCAGATCGTGTATCTGAAGGGTGCGGTCCAGCGAACAGGTGAGAACTTTGTCGCGGGAGGGAATCAAAACTTGGACGACCTTGGCACTAAACTCCAGTGTCTGAAAGTGCTCAATTGCGCCGGAAGATGTTCGATGGAACAATTGGGCTGTGCGGTCTCTGCCGCAAGATGCGATAAGAAGCTTTGACTCGTCCTCGAAGATGGTGATATCCTGGCAGTCAGAAGAATGTGCCTTCGTCTCAAGTAAACAGACTCTCGTAGAGGCGTCAATGATGCGAAGAACGCCGAGCTTATCCCCCACAGCAAAGAGACTTCCATCTTTCGTGGCTCTAACCACCACAAGCTGATTGACCGGTTGCTCGCCATCGGTGTTGTTTTCTACCTGGTCCACGGGAACGTCAAGCGTCAACTTGATGAGGCCATCCATATTCCACAGATTGATCCTTCCAGATGCTGACCAGGTGACGAAGGATGCGTCCGCGCCATTGTACCCAGGAAGCTCTTGTATTCCAACGATATCGCCGGCGCCAGGTATCGGAATGTGGTGAGGATCGTCGGATGATACGGCTGGAATATGGTCGGGACTCCAAATGTTGATTGTTCGGCGGTTGTCGATCGTTACGAAATTCTCGGCGAGAAAGCCCAGGGCCACAAGTCCGTCTGACGTGTGTGGGTTATGAATAACAGGATCGGGGATGCCTTCCAAGACACCATCGAGTGCGAGAGTTGCCAGCTGACCATCTTTCCCGCCAACGTAAAGCATCTCTTTCCTCATCGATATGCAACTGACGTGAAAGTTCAGGTCCAGCAGTCGTGTTAGTTTCATTTGCTTGTTTGTGTCGTCCAAGAGGCACACACTGCCCGTTTCTGAGCAGATGATGGCCCTATTTTCATCAAGTGCAAGAGCGCAGCTGAACGTGGCGTCCAGCATAGAACCCAGCAGAATATTTCGGCCAGGCAATGGTTTTTGGGCCAGTTGGGCAGCCGAGCAGGCCGCCTCTTGTTGTGAGAATTTTGATTTTGTCGGAGAGATGGGCGGTGGTTCTTCAACCCTCCAGACCTTGATGTGACGGACACCCAATGTTATCAAATTGTTGCCCATCCACACCATGCCCTTGACGTGAGAGGTACAGCGGTTTTGCTGAAAGAGCCTGGCAGCACCAGTTCTTGTGTCGATCTTCCATATATAGAGGAACCCATCGTTGGCAGCTCCTAGAGAGGCCAAGAACCGTGTGTCTGGTGACCATGCTACCGCCTTGACTCCAAATGCGTGTTCACTGATGGAAACCAACGGCGTATCGGACGAGGCATCTTGGAGGTTGAAGATGAGTACGCGGGGAGCATAGCCCGTTTCGCCAACTGCCAGGTATCGTCCATCCCGGCTGAGGCCAAGGCAAGTGGCAGCCTTTATGCGCTCGCGACTTGTCCAAGTCTGTGATGAGTCTGCTGTCTGATAGGCCGATTCCCTCTGTGAAGCAGTGGTCCTGTTCCTACTGTCATTGGCTTTCGGTGTCGGATTTGAATTCGCTGCGGTGGTGTGTGAGACGGGTGAAAGCGCAAAGACGGGGACTGCCGAGGGACGGGCTCGATAAAAGCGTTGGGAATAATGCTCGCCCGATACGTCAACAACCACCACAGCTCCGCCGGCAATGTAGGCGAAAGAGGAGTGAACGGAATCGAAACCGGTAGGCGAGGAGCAAGTGGTGCCTATGACACGCCTGAGGGACAAACAGGTCTCATTGAGGGTACGGGAGCGTTGAGGACCCGGGGACCTAGAAGTCCTTGTGACAAAGGGAGAGGCAGCGGGAGTAAGCTTGTGTCGATTCGAGGGAGTGGATGCCATCTCGTAGCCATTGGCCGTTGGGGAGGCGAACTGGGGTTAGTATGTCTTGAAGTCCGATATGAGTTGGGAGGACATGAGCCAGCACGTCGTCCTCGATATCGGCGGTGTATAGCTGAATTCGGCCTCGGCGGTGGATTGCCAAAGAATCGACCGTGCGGCGAAGGATTGATGATGATAGCTTGATTGGAAGCTTTATCGTTGTTGCCGTCGTTGTCGTCGATATAGTCAAGGATATTCCAAAATCTTTATGTGTATGTAGTGATGAGGTACCTCTTTGGTAAGCTGAGCAACGAGGAGGAGGAGGAGGAAGAGGAGGACCAATGGAGGCTTGATGTCGAAGCTTGAGCTGAGCCAAGACGGGTTGTAGGAGAAGCGATAATGATGACGGAAGCAGCGTTGGACGATTGGAAGAATCTGAGCTTTCCGTCCGAACTTTCAAGTCGGCCAGGGTCAGTGCAAAGATACCTCTAGAGATGCGTGACTTCTCGTGTGTGTGGAGGTTGCCTTGTTTGTGACTGAACGTTCCCGCGGTAACGCTGCAAGATCTGACTTTGTTAGTGTCTTTGCACAAAAACACACAAACAACGCACGCCCAAGCAAAGAAGTGAACCTTTGCCCAAGCATGCAGAAGGTCAATCAGATCGAGATGGTCCGGTCGGGTCTTACAGTGAGGGAAGAACGACGGGAGAGCTGGAGAGAAGAAATTGCAGTAGCAAAGAGAACGAGAGCTCTGCCCGGGACACTCAGAGAGAGAGAGAGGGAGGAGCGAAAGAGTGAGATTGGAATTGAATGAATTTAGCTTTGGCGGGAAAGGCCTTCCTGCCCTGGAGGTCGAAATCGCCGCCAAAGGTGGAAATATCGTGATGCCCTAAGGTATCCAGCCCAGTCAGGGAAGAAGGGAATCTGTAGAGGTAACTGAACCTTGAGGTAGTCTGCAGTAGTGCGTACAGCAGCCTCATGCAAGCTGCAGCCGTTGTGGAGGTGACTTCAAGGCGAGGGCGAGGAAGCGACAAGGTTCGCGATCTAGACTGAAGACGACGACGACATTGTGTCCAGGTGTGTTTCCAATTGCTACCTCTACACAAATGATGGGATGATGTGGAAAATGGGAAGGGGGTTGAGATGGAAAGAGACACAAGCAGGACAGGCGGGAAGGTGAGATGAGATGAGAAGAGGACTGGGGGACCAGGCCAGTACTAACAAGGCTAGAGAACACAAAAAGGGAGATTGATACTTTTCACAACCTCCACGCCATCTCTCCATTGTGGACTTGCCCGCCCTCTTTGCTCTTACCCATTCCTCATGTGAAAAGAGGTCACACATTTCCCGTCATCAATGGCATGCTGGGATAAAGTACTCTAGGCTCAAGATTGGAATTTCCCATTTGGGCAGAGGGTCCCTCCCATTTAGGGTTATGGGTCGCCTAATTCACGCTACAAAGGATGATCATCACAGTTGTGACCGGGGACGGGATCTCTCCCTGGCCTGCCTTGCAAGCGCTGTGGTCGCTGTCATTCGCTGTCACGGTCCTAGTCACGGCGGGCAATCAAAGTCAATCTTGGGTGTCACCCTCCCACCCGTTCAGTGCCGTTCAGGACCGCTGGGACCGTTCCATCGGCGCTCCAAATCACAATTGAGCCGCTCATTCGGGACTGGTCTGTGCGCCAATCTTGAGTACCGGGAGCCAATTGCAATACATCCAAAATAACAGGTGGGGCATCCTTCGCTTAGAGATCCACAATTCCCCACTCTTTACAGTTGTCACATCCTCAGCACTGCAACTGTTGCAACCACCCTGCGACCTCCAAAACCGCGCCAAAACGTGGGACAAACAACCACCATTCAACCTCACCTCTTTCGAAACGACAACTCACGGCGCATCCCAAGTCGTGAAGCCCAACTGCTACCAGGACCCTAGCGAGCAAGCCTGTCCACAACCTCCCCGCAAAAACAACATCAGGAGAGAAAAGAGAAAAGCAATATTTTGTGCATCCGCGGCTGCCTTCTGCAATTCGTTTCGAGAAAAGAAAAGAGACATCGATGGGACAACAGACTGGGGTTGTTCGATGGACCCTTTCTCATCACGGAAAGTAAAAAGGCATCTTTTGGAATCACAACCATCACCCATTCCCGTCGTGATGCGGTCTTGCCGCAATGGATCACCCCAGGAAAAACTTGAAAACCAAACACGATGATCGGATCATCCTCCATTTTGTACAACCTCCTTCCCTACTATCGTTCATGCATTACTTAAATCGAAAGATATTTGCAAAGAAAACGGGTTCTGACTTTTCATGTGTGTGAATGTTGGTCTGTCTGTAGGATCTCGATTGCTTCTACGCCCAGGTAGGTAATTGCACCCACCCACCCCTATTTCTATTTCACCCCAGCAACCGTAACCTACCTACGGTTGTGCTCCTTTGCCCCTTGCCCCCTTGCCCCTTTGCCCCCTTTTCCTTTTATTCATGATGTCAACAAACCAAAACCGCCTTCAGTTCTTCCAGACACCAAGACCCAACCCAACCCGGCAACAGAAACACCTCCACTCCCTTCCAATAGCGCCAAACCACCTCACTAATTTTCTATAACAAAAGGTCTTCGAAAACAAATCACCCCCTCTCAAATCCCTCCCCCTCGGCATCCGCCAAAAGTCCCTCCTAGCAACATGCAACTACCCCGCCCGCCGCCTCGGCGTGAAGAAGCTCATGTCCATCGCCTCCGCGCTAGCCATCTGTCCGGACCTGGTCGTCGTTGACGGCGAAGACCTGACGCCCTTCCGGGACGTGTCCAAGCGGATTTACTCCTTGCTACGCTCGTACTCGTGGAACGACAAGGTCGAAAGACTGGGGCTGGATGAAGTCTGGATGGATGTAAGTGACCTGGTTGAGTATAACCTGGAGTTTCTGAACAGGAATGATTTGGAGCATTCGTGGTTTTGTTTAGACAGGGAAGATCCGGAGAAGGGGTTCGTGTTTGATGCAAGCCGGTGGGCGGGATGTGTTTATGGTTCCAGCAGTATTGGGGAGGGGGATACAAGAGATGGAGAAGGAGGTGGTGAACGACAGCAGCCGGAATTGTTCCTACGAACAAAACTCCTCCTCGCCTCCCACTTGGCTTTTCATCTCCGCATGAAGATCGAAGAAGAAGGGTACACCACGGCCTGCGGGATATCCACGAATAAACTCCTCGCCAAGTTAGTCGGCAACGTGAACAAACCGCGGAACCAGACGACTCTCTTATCTTTCGGTCCCGACGGCTGTGGCGAGGAAACTGTGCGGAAGTTCATGGGAAGTCATCAACTTTGCAAAATCCCGGGAATTGGAGGTAAAACGGCCTCTGTTCTTTCGGAGTGGTTCATCTCGCAATCTGGTCCAGGAGGCCCGAACCTGAACCTGAACCCAAAGGATATCACCGTCGCCAACCTCCTCTCCTGTCCCGGCCTAACGCCCTCAAAACTCGACTCCCTCTTCTCTTCTTCTCTAGGGTCAGGCACAGCCTTAGGAACAACAACACCCGGAAAACACCTCCTCTCCCTCCTCCAAGGCCACGACCCCTCCCCCGTCAAACCCGCCCGCACCCTCCCCACGCAAATCAGCATCGAAGACACGTACCATGCTCGCCCTCTCACCTCGCTCGTCCAAATCCGCTCCGAGCTGATCAAGATTACTTCGTCATTGCTGAAAAGGATGAAAACCGATCTGATGGATGATAGCGACGACAAGCAAAGGTGGATAGCAAGACCGAAAACGCTGCGGTTAACGACGAGACCGCGGGTAACCCCGAGAGAGGGGAAGGGGTATGGATACTTGAGGGTTTCCAAGAGCGGGCCGTTGCCTGGGTATGTTTTTGGTATTGCCAATGGTAATGGTGACCGGGGTGGTGATGGTGACAACACGGCATTGGCGATGGCGATGGCGCAGCAGATTGTCGAAAGGCTGGTGATGGAGACGTTGATTCCTATGTTTCACCAACTTAACCCCATCAACTCCAAGGAGAAAGGGGCGGCGAAGAAGGGGACAGGGTATAGCATCGGGCTGCTAAACGTTTGCGTGACGAACATGGACTGTGTCGATCTCACAGCCAGCGGCGGCGGAGGAAGGGACATCAAGGATATGTTCATGCAAGCAAGGGAGTTTACTGTCTATGATCACGATCACGATCAATATCAACACCAACATCATCATCTCGTCGACAGTTATGACGCCGACGCCGACGAAAAGCGGATTGGACCCGGAGCCGAACCTTTGGAAACATTGGACATGGATATGGATATGGATCGGGATACGGGCATGGATGCTGCAGAAGACGTGGACGTGGACGTGGACATCAAGCACCATCAACATCCCGATTCCGTGCCCGATGGCTACGAGCAAGATTCTATGCTGCCTATTTCTACTACTACTATCGATTACTTTCACATCGAAGACGACGACGAAGTTTGGGATGACGAAGAAGGTAGTAATGTGTGGGAGAATGATGAAGCTGATGAAGAAGAACTAGACTACTTGAGAGGAGCGGGTGGTATGAGCAGAGGCGATGGTGATGGGGAAGATGGTGATGGCACCAAATGCCCCCTATGTAACCATTTCATCCCTTTCTTCGCTTTATCTGCCCATGAGCGCTTTCATAGTATGGAGTCCGAGGGCGCATAGACTACCTAGGTATGCAATGCCATATGGAAGGAATACTTCCTGGCCCATTCAATAGGTACATGCATTACGTATGTGTATTTGTCTTTTGTTTACTTCCTTACTTTCTCCTCTCTCTTATTGGATGCCGCCCATGCCGCTGCTGATAATGATGATGATGCAATTTTCTCTCTCTTGACCCTTCCTTCAAGTCTCAGTTGGGTGGGATATGCAAAGTAACCAAAAACAAAGACCCATCCATCGAAGCTCAACCAAGTCTCCTACCCTATTATTATACATCTCCCCAACTCGTCGTCCACATGGACTCATCATCACGACAACAAGCACATAAAAATCGTGTGATCATCCACTTCCCTCCCTCACCTCACTCACTTCAACCCAAACCCTTCACTCTCCAATACCGCCGTCCACAAAACCTTTCTCAACGTCTCCTTATCCGCATACCTCCACAGCGCCAACGAATTAAAACACGTCCTGGCCGTGGGATACCGTCCACAATCATCGCCCAAACAACTGATCCGAATCGACAGCGCCGCGGCGCCCCCAGCGGGAATCCTGTCACTGCCCGTGATAAACAACAACAACTTCCTCTGATCCGCAGGTGAAGCCTCCTCAAAGAGTTCCCAGAACCACCTAACCATCGGCTCCCCGGTTTCCACGGGATTTTTTGTGCTCCAGTTATCGTACGTAGCCGCCGATTTCAGCGCCGAGATGTCGAGGGCTTCATCCGAGCCGCGGACCAGCAGCTCGATTTCCTCGGGGCGGAAGAGGGACAGCGCGTTGCCGCCGCAGACGGTGTAAAAGCCGCGCTTGAAGGGCTCGAACTGGCGGGTCACTGCCGTGTCGAGCAGGTAGCGCACGTAGAGGTCGACGTACTCGCGGCGGTTGGCGTTGGTGACGGGGCGGCGCTCGCCGTTGGGGCAGAGGGCGACGCGCTCCGTGGAGCCGTAGCGTTCGATGTCAACGACGAAGTCGAGGCAGAAGGTGGATTCGACATCGCCATCATACTCGAGTAGCTGCCGGAGCCCGGATGCGAGGCGGGGCCGGTATTCGGCGAGGTCGTCAAGGCTGTAGGTCATGGGTTGGCGGGGCTGGGACGTGGCTAGCGTGGGGGGTGGTGCGGCACTGAGGAGCTTGCGGAAGGCGAAGGGCGGTAGGGCGACGTCGAGGATGGTGGAATTGTAAATGGCGAGACCGAAGACGACGCCAACTAGGAAGTATTGCTCGGATGGCTCGAGAGAGGCGGGGTTGAAATAGCAGTATTGAGAGTCCTCGTCGTAGACAAACATCCCTAATGAAACAAGTGTTAGAACGGAGTAGAGTTACTTTTCGATAGAGGCATCACCTACCATGGTCGGGGTTAAACACTTCACGGACGAGGAGCAAGAACCACTCCTTCCGTAACCCGCCAGCATCAATGCCCTCTTCTCCCTTGAAATTGATCTTCAAGCCCTTCTTGATATCCTCCGAGCCGCTACCAATCACCTCGCTCACGGCCTTGAGACTGTCATCCACCAGGCAATCCCGACGGACATTTAACACAAGGTGCTGCTGAATGACACGGTGGGTTAAGATGCTGTTGAAAAAGGCATCTCTGGCCTTGTCCTCCATCTGCCGCCTCGCGTCGTATTCGAGAATTTGAATCTTGGCCCCTATGCTGAGAAGGAAGGGGAACTGGCAGAATGCAAATTTCCCCTTTTTCGTCTCCCATGTTTCAAAGTCCGCCACAAGATCGGAATCGTCGAGAAGGGTGGTGTAGAAATCACTTGTAGCTAGAATCTGCCCGCGCATCTGGACTCGATCCCTCGTGCTCGCAGCTTGCCCAGCAGTGCGGTTAGCCAGGCTACGCTGAGAGTGGTTTGTATTGTTGGCTGCGAAGATCAATGCGAGGACTTGGGCCGAGGCCTTGATTTGCCAGTCGTCATTGTATATCTTCTTCTTTTCCTTCTGCTTTTTTCCTGCTGATTGTGATGATCCCAATGCGGCGTGAAGGGATGCCGCAGACCTTCCAGCGTTCAGACTTGGGATCAAACCAGCAGTAATATCCACTTTGGCGTCGTACTTCTTCTCGTTCTGTCGGTTCAGTCGGAATGATAGGAAACTATGAATGAGATCCTTTGCCCTGATGAACAGTGGCTCAGGGTACCTCGCAAACCAGTTCACGAGATGGTTGTGACACTCGTTGGGTGTGTTAGACAAAAGACCAACGATACGCTTGATGATTCCGGAATGCCTTCCAGAAGATGGGCCGCCCTGAGAAGACCAGAATGAGTCCATATGCCGGAACTCGCCGAGGTATGGTTTATAATAGGTGTGAAGCAGTGGGTTAGCGGCAAGAATGAGGATAAACCGTAGCTCATGAGGCGCAATAATCGGGCGTCCGGGCCGTTTCATAATCGTCTCGCTAGCCTTCAAAAGCGACCTATGGACATGGTCCTGTCCCACAAGCAGCTGTGCTTCGATTTCCTTGAGCACCTCAGGAGGCACAGCCAGTGTCGGATCCTCGCTCACAAGCTCATCGTAAACCACAGGCCACGCCCGAACAGCATCGAGCACTGCCGTGTACCACTCCTCTAGTTCCGTCCAGTCAATGCGAGGGCTCCTTGGGCTGACTGCAGACGCACCTGGATCGCTCCGGTTAGATGATGACCTCCCTGGTACCACTTCTTCATGCCCTCCCGTCCACCAGAGACCGTTCTCAGCAAAGTCCCCTAGCAACAACATCTTGGCGTCCAATTCAACAAACGGCTGATCCGCAGTAACCGAGTCTTTCCGGGCTTCGGGTTGGGGCATAGGTGATGGTTGGGGCCGGGGCTGAGGTTGCGATTGCGTTGGCCGACGTCGACGCTCTGGTTCGCCAGGAGGTCTAGGCTGGTAAGCCGGGCGTGTTGTCGAAAACGAAGTGTTCAGACACTGGTACGAGGTAACGCAGCTGACTATATAGTCTTCAAGCCGTTTAAATATCCGCCTGTAATCCACGTCTGGGGTTGCAATCTGCGGGCTCGCTTGATGTAAAGGTGCTTGAGGGCCGAGATCAGGGATCGCTGGGCGCTTTTCGGGATAGGATGATGAATATGACCGAGGCGTTCCATTAGAACGCCGTTGGGGATCCAGATAAGTGTTTGGGACTGTCAGTCCATCACGCTGTGGTTGAAGACTCACGCCTGCCGCCCTATTCGGTGGCGGTCCCCTTCCTGGGCTCCTTGGTGGTGACATTGGACCTTCATGCTGATCTCTAGAAGGAACCTTTGCCAAGGTAAAATAAGAGTCTGGCCGCACATCTGCCAGCCGGCCCAATTTTGAGCGTAGAGCAGACGAAAGAAAGGAACGCAAACATTGTGAAGCCAGTGACTTTGTATGACCCAAAGAAACTGGTCGTTCTAAGCAGGTATTAGCGAGTAAACAGCCATATTAATTAAGGTTCTTTCTTACCATAAGAGAAGACTCGCTCTTCTGCTGCGGGAGGTGAGTTCCGGGGAGCATCCCGTCTGGGACCCTGCCCTTGCCCCTGGCCTGAGGTGGATGGCTGTAGGTCGTTGATAGTCAAGCAAATGGTGCACTTGAAGACAGAGAGCTCCTTAGGCCACCGCACCAAGGAACCGCACGCCATGCATTTTCCCGTGCTATAGTCGTTGTTCCCGATAGAAGGAACATTCCTATGACCTCGCGAGTGCTGTGTTGGGGGTCTGCTGGTACCGAGCTTGGGCGCATAACCGGCTTCGTCTACCGTTTCGGACTCGGAATCGCCAGCATACATCTGATACGGCTTCTTTTTCTTACTCGAGAACAGAGACGGGAAGGGATGGCTCATGGAGCGTCGGTGGGCTGGTCTCTGAGAAGCACGGGCACTTGAAGAGCGGAAATCGTCGTCAGACGAGCTGGAATCGTCGGCGTTGGTGTTGCTGCCCGTGTTGGCTGTGATGCGCAAGTTGTTCAAGACAGGGAGGTCCGGGACTCTGGTGGCACTTCGAAATCGACCGGCGGTCGTGGCAGCATGAGGACGGCGGATCTGAGGTTTTGCTGTTGGTGGCCGGTTTATGCTCCCGTTGGGGTTCACGTTTCCGCCGCCGGTACTGTTGCCGTTGCAGTTGGTGTAGTAATTCACTTGGTTCAGATTGTTTGTGGTACTGGTGATACCAGGACTTGATGGAGGTCCAAAGGCACGGTGCGACTGCGGAAAAGGGTGCGGGTGCCACTGCGGATGCTGTTGCTGTTGCGGTTGTTGCGGTTGTTGCGGTTGTTGTAGCTGTTGCGAAGATTCCTGTGCCGACGAAGGCCCCTGTGGATGCTGAAGCGGATGTTGAAGCGGATGCTGGAGCTGGTGCGGGAGCGGGTGCGAGTTGGCGTGGGAATCCACTCTGCCGGGAAAGGGCCCCAAAGGCCAAGAAGGCGAAGTGGTCGAGATCCCCATGGAAGGAGGCGTGGAGGTGGTGTTGATATTGATATTGGCCATGGTACCTTCCCGCGTAGGCCGTGTTTGGGCGGTATAGGTGGCCATCTTGACAACCGAGCTTTCCAAGGACTATGCTTTCAACTTTTGTGTGTCTGTGTCCTTCAAGGAGGGAGGAAAACAAGTGTTGTGGTAAATGATGGTGGCAACCACAATTCGGTTAGGAAACCATCAAGAGGGCGGCAGTCAGTGACAGCGGCAACGTAATGTAGGCCAATGGCACCTTCACCAGGGGCTAGGCCTGTATGGTTAGCCAGTAATGAATGAGCTCAGCTGGAAGAAGTAGAAGTAGCTGTGACCTGCAAGCTCTTTTTGTTGGTGTTTGAGCAGTGACTGATGTTGGCAGCACAAGTGATGCAGCTGAGTGGGAAATTGATGATGTCCTGAGGAAGGTAGAAGGGGGAACAGAAAGGATAGGTGGTTCCAAATGCTAAGGTATTCTCCGAAGTATGTATGTATACCTTAGGTAATCGAAACGAATGTTCAGTGGTGTAGACCTGCCTGCTGTGCCTGTTTCCTGCTTTCTTCCCGTAGTCCACCCACTTCCCGCACCAACTCGAATTATACAAGCGTTGTTTGCGGCTTCCAATTCGTCTGATACGCGGCTTATGGAGAATGGGATGGGACCCGTTGGCGATACCAGAGTTTCGGACGACAAGGGAGAGGTTGAAGGCTGGACTGAAGCGATGACAGTCACGGCATGGCGGATCGGGTTGAAAGAGCGTGTAAAGCGCGGGTCGTCAAGACTTCAGACGAAAGGTAAAGAGACTAGGTATTTCTAGTTTTCACCTCTCTAATTTGAGCATTGACTAAGTCTAACACCTTGACGGTTGTCTAGAATCGCGGTTATGGTCGGAAGCGTGGACCGAGAATGTCGTAGTGCGAGTTGTTGAACCATAAAGCAAAGATCGAACTGGATTGAGAGGGAGGCGGGAGATGTTGGCTGGCGAACGAAACTAACGTGTTCTCGGGTCATAAGACGGATAAACCAAGATGGGCTCGGAGACGGATCAGGAAATCTGTCATGGACGAGGAGACTCAACGAAAGGACTGAGGCAATGTTGCCATCAAGAATAAGCACAGCTGGAGGTTTCAAGACGTTTGGAGAAAGAGTTGTAGCCGTGATGTTACACTCTTGGAAAAAGCAAATGTGGTGCCAGGTAAGCCATTCAGAGGCCAGGGTGTTGTCGCTGCAAGTCGGAGTACGGCAGCCTGCCCTAGCTCGTTCATGACAAAATTATGGGAACTACGGGAAGCCCACCCCAGAGTTTGATAACCTACAACTCGGCCATTATGTCACCAAAGAACTCGGTTATTACTTCAACCTTTTGAGCACTCAATTCTTCTTCCAAGTTCATACAATTTCTGGAAATCCAGGTTGTGTAATTGCGAAGAGCATGCATTTTCATCGAGGTAACGAGGAGTGGTGATATTCGCCAAGCCCGCAAAGATAGGTGGGGGTTGCGCTTTGGTGGTTCCTATAATTTTGTCAGGAACGAGCCTAGCTATTAGCCAGCCCTGAGAGGTTGACGGTTGGATGGGGCTGCAGATGCACAGCCTGCCTTAGCGAAACGTCAAGTAAGGAACTTGCATTTCTGTTAGGTAGGCAGGATAGCGGATCCCCAGAAAAGACCCCAGGGAAACCCCTAGTGATGAACCCCATAGCTCCGGTGTTGTTGACGATGCTATTCTCATCCAAGTCCGATGTGACGACACTTGTGTGAGCCAAGAAAGACAAGAATGGAGCAACAAGCTTTCAACGGCTCCGAACGGACGCTGTGTGAAGGGACTCGGTCGTATCTGGTCGAATTCTTGATGTGCCCTGGCTTTATCAGAAGCCTCTGGCTGGCTGCTCAGAACTAGAGTCAGGAATGCCTGAGATGGTGGAAAATGGATAAGTTGCAGCAAGGGGCATCAGCACTGTAAATTCGAGCTACCTTAAGTTGAATGAATTGGATGAACATAGGACGGCGGCATGTCTATCAGTCGACGTCAGCTGTACCTACTTGTCACCACCGGATACGCACAGTCCGGTCAGGTACATGATCCAGCAGGATCAGCAAAACACGTCGCAGTTGCCCGTAAACGTTAACAGAAGACTTCCACCTTAAAGAGGTATGAGACGACAGGGCCAGCCATTTCAGGTCCTGGTCAGGGCAACCGAGCGAAAGCGTCACGCGGGAAACGCGGGGGCCAAGGCCACCAATGTCCATATTAATGGAAGTCCCAGCTCACCTCAGCCAGGGACACCTCAGCCCCGTCCCAAACGGGGGTTTCAGAGCAGAACAGGAAATGGTGATTGAGATTACGACGGGCGGTCCCTTTATCGCCCATCCAAATCAAGTCCACAAGGGCAACATTGAGATCGATTCTCCGTTCCATTTCCATTTCCATTTCTTCCAGTTCACCATCAACAACAAGCCTGCCCAGGACGGGAGTTTCCTTTTTCGAACACTGCACCCATGGTGACCTTGGAGTTGAAGATGCTTGTTAAGGCGCCACGCTGGATGGGACCCTCAATACGAGGGCAAGGGTCCCTGTGAATCAGTTGATCACCAGCCAAATCTGGTTCCCCCGCCCCTGTCACCATCGGTTACCACAGCACACTGCACTAACAACATGTGCCGAACTGGAGGTTCCCGTCCTCAGTTTGGTTGCTTGTCTGCTTGTATCTGCTTGATTGTGCAACGACATCAAGCCCGTTCCAGGTTGACAATGGACGCCGACAGCAACGGCTTAAAACCCCACAGGTTGCCCCGCATCGGCAACTGCAGCTCGCTTGAAGCCCCCTGTTAAACCGATTCTGTTGTCGTGCAGGGGTGCTGGCCCGGGTTTGGGCTGCACTTCGTTGCTTTCTTCTTGAGTGAGAGGAACCAACAAGAACGTCCTCATGACTTTCCTTCCTTTTTCTTTATACGAGGTCACGATCCCGATACCGGATGAGGATAGGTAGATTGATGGTGCCCGCAAGGAGTTGTCTTCCCACAGGGCATGTATCCGACACGTAATGAGTGCACCTTCTGAGAGAGACAGGCCGAAACTACGATCCTTGCCTGTGTACAAGTATCAACGAGACAAGCAACTGGGCTCACCAACAAAAAGCACACAACACCAAGATTGCTTGGCTACGGTACGAAGGCCGACAACTGCCGGCAGTGACCGTCTCCGGTCATGGTCGTCCACTCCGGGAGGTCCGGGCCGTTGTGGTCCGTTCGGGTCCGGTCAGGTCCGCTAACCACCCCACCAGCTTGCCAGCCAGGTCCCAGACCTCAACGGCCAGCCTTCCAATGAACCGGACGGATGAGGTATCAGACACCGGACATATTGGTCCTTGCCTCGCTGTCCAGATCCCGGACATCCCGAGTTTCTATAACAACCTGTGCAACCGGTCAGTCGAGCACACCGACAGCGTCCTGAGGTTGATTGAGCCTTTTCTAAATCCTTGATGGCCAAGGTTCTCAGATTAGGGGGCTCGGGGGAAAACGCAACAAGTCGATGTTCGTCTTTTTCGTACGTACTTTTTGGTACGCGCAGGTGAGGTCGGTGAACTGTTGCTGCTGTCTCAATAAAAGTGTTGCAGAGGGGTGAGACGGCCATATCACCAGGGGGTTTCATTGGCGTACAGGCGGACACGTGAAAGCGCAAAACAGCAGGCGTTAACAGCCAGACAGGGGAAGCCGTTGCCGTATCACAAGCCGTTTGCACCGCGATCATAGGCGGGGAATAGTGTATACCCCTGGCATGGCAACAACGATGGCGAGATGCTGGGAAACTTGTCAAGAGCCATCGTCTCAATTCTCCACCGGACGGTCCTTCTTGCCTCTTTCAAGACAGAAGCGGGCGAATTGACGACATGATCTGCCCGAAATCCGAAAAGTTTATTCGTGGAGACTGGAGAGGCCAGAGACAAGCAGGAACGTCACGAGTTTTAACACGACTGACCACTCTCTGCAGCCATCGAGCCATCTGCCAAACTAACATTGTGTGCCAGCTCGACCGACATTTCGTCTTTCACTCCCGCTTCCTCCTCGTCCAACATCTTTCCCCAAACATGAACTTCTACACATCATTATACCCATGGATACACGACCCCTTTACTATTATTGATTAACTTTCCGTGCTTGTTAGCATAATTCAGTTCTCGTATATACCTGCTTACTCGCTTCTTGCTCTTCAGCATACATACCTTGCTGGTGTTTGCCTTCTTATTTGCTTTCTTTCTTTTCTGCCCTTTCCGTATTCGCCACCGCGCTCCGTCTCTCGACATCGCATCATCCGACGATTCCACTCCTTTCCCGCTACCGCTCTACGTTTACGTCCGGCGACGCCGACCCTAGGAAAGAAACGAGGTTTGCGACGACCGCATGATTTGCTATGGCCACCTTGGTCTCCGACTTGCTTCGAGGAGCACAAAGACAAGTTCGACGGTTCTCTTCAGGGTTCGCCACTGAAGAGCCCGATATACCCACGCCATTTACCACTTCACAACACCAGAGAACGAGATCCGACGGGGCGGCGATTCCCAATTCTGTGTTCGAGGACGAAGAGGACAACTATAGGAGGAGTCTGGATGGAAATATTTTGGGTAGAACTGTAGCCTCCCCGGTGGCTGTCGCAACAATAACTACACCAACCAATGCCGCACCAAATTCATATCCGAGGTCGGGGGAAGGCGCCGATGTCGCATCTGCCGCATCAGAAGTAGGACATCATGGACAAGCCCCAGTTCCGCCAACATCCGCAGCGGCGTACGACTCAACACCGCCGGCGCGACCGTCGTTGACTTCACCGATCTCTGCCCCAGCGCCAGAATGGTCTGCGCAGGCAGTACAACAGGGCCTCCTCGGGCTTCCTTATATCCCCTCCCGTGTGGACTCCGATGCTCGATCCCAGGCTGGGGAGTTACCAGAAGACGACGGCAAGAGCGCGCTGAGGAAGAGGATACAGGCGATTCAGAACCAGGCCGACATCTCGCAGGCTCTCAAAGCGCAGCTTATACACCAGGTTATGACGGAGGAGTATTATCACCAGTCTCCACATGCGCATGACGGCACTATGGGCATGCGCCCAGAATCGCCCAGCGGTCGGAGCGTGCGCAGTGTGCACAGCGTCAAGAGCGCCCGCAGCGCGCATAGCTACGGCCGCGAGCAATCATCGAACCGGGATTGTGATTCGTTTGGAGCATTGCAGACGGCCTTCAAGTTCTGGAACCCTCTTGGAGGCGAAGGCGGAATTGGCGACGAGGCTGCCCTGAACATCCACGTTACCGAGGAAGATCTCAAGCCGACCTATGTTCCCAAAGTCGCCCCAAGACGTGACGATTGTGGACCGCGAGAACTCGATGTCAGTCTTTTATACGCGATGGCGCAGGGGATACGGCCCGAGGAAGAAACAGAGGATTTGGATGAGAGCGGCCAGCCCGTTCTCAGGCTTGGTTGCAAACATTACCGGCGCAATGTGAAGCTGCAATGTGCCGCCTGTGATCGGTGGTATACGTGCCGACTCTGTCACGACGAGGCGGAAGATCACACTCTGCCGCGACGGGAGACACGCCACATGCTGTGCATGTTGTGCGGTCGCGCCCAAAAGGCCTCGCATACCTGTGTTGGCTGTAACCAGTCGGCGGCCTCATACTATTGTAATATTTGCAAACTATGGAACGACGATCGGAACAAACCTATCTATCACTGTAACGATTGCGGGCTCTGCCGAGTCGGACATGGCCTGGGCAAAGACTTCTTCCATTGCAAGGTGAGTCGCTTTGAGCTAGTGTGAAGAAATGACCCCTTTGGCCCAACATGACTGACCGTTCTTGGTGAATAGAAATGCTCAGCATGCGTCTCTACGCGTACTGAGCACCGATGTGTCGAACGGTCCACCGACTGCGATTGTCCCATCTGCGGCGAATACCTGTTCAGCTCCCCGCGACCGGTTGCAATCATGAAATGTGGCCATACCATTCACCAACACTGTTTCAACGCGTATAAGCAGACATCGTACAAGTGTCCAGTCTGCAACAAGACTTGCGTCAACATGGAGATTGAGTTTCGTAGGCTCGATATTCTCATTGCCACCCAGCCCATGCCCGAGGAGTACCAGGACGCCCGGGCTGTTATCTCGTGCAACGACTGCAGTGCCAAAAGCCAGACAAGGTACCATTGGCTGGGACTGAAGTGTTCGGTCTGTCATTCGTACAACACAGTCGAGCATAAGCTGCTCCATATGCCTGGCGTTAATGACGATGAGGATGAAGGGGGGCCCAGGGCTACCATTGGGTCGAGTGGTGTCAACGGAACAGGGCAAGGAGTGAGTGTCCTGCCAGTTGCACTTGACGAGCATGTTCTTCAGAACGCAGCAACAGCCGGCGGTAGACGACCTTCAGTTACGCAATGCGCCGATATAACCAGAGAACAATCCCGGAGCATTTTCCACTCGGACCCCATCTCACCTCCGCGACGTTCAGCCCTAGCAGGCCTCTTCGCTAACCGGAACCGACAATCCCCCTCCTCCTCCGCCGACCAACCTCAAACATCCACTTCCACCAACCTCCCTACAACCCCTTCACCGTCCAACTACTTTCCGCGTCCCTCCTCTTTCGCTCCTTCCTCCCCGGCTGCCACAGCCGCCGCGGTGCTCGCTTCTGCTGCCGCCTTCGTTGGGTTCGGCGGTTACTCAGCATCTGCTCCTTCTGGCGCAGCAGCCACTACCACCACGATCCCGGGCCGCGCTGCAACCGGGACGACGACAAGGACGAGGACAATGACACGAACAAGAGGCAGGTCAGTAAACGAAGCTGGTATTGCGGCAGATGGGACAACAACAACAACAACAACAACCGCAGGCGCGGATTACAACTCGGATGACTATACCGACGACGATCAGGAAAGTCGATGGGGAGAAGACATGGTGACCTTCGAAGACGTACTCGGTTTCTTAGGTAGGTCGCCGAGGGGGCTGGTCCCTGTTCCCAGGGATGGACACACCTCTATTAGGGATCTAGTAGAAGAGGAGGACGATGAGGATGAGGAAGAGGAGAGTGAAGAGGATGATGATGATGATGATGAGAACGACGATCTTGAAGACGAAGAAGAAGAAGAAGGGGTTGGAGGGTTTGAGCTCGATCTCATCGGTCATAGGTGATGCGATCGACGACTTGACGAACCGAAAGGGGGCAAAGGAAAGGAAAGGAAAGGAAAGGAAAGGGAAAAGCGGGGATAAAGTGAATATCTCTTATCATGATATGCCTTACACAGCATGTTTATGTGGTCTCTTACATAACTAGCTTTTTTTTCTTTCTCCTTCATTCGGGATGTCTGTATAACATACTGCAACTCTCTACTTTGCTTTTGAGCTTGCTTTGGTTGGAACATGACCGGGGTGGGCTAAGGCATCATCATCATCATCATCATCATCATCATCATCATCATCATCATCATCATCATCATCATCATCATCATCATCATCATCAACAACAACAACATGATCAGTATCAATATCACAATGGGCGTAAGCATGAGGCAGGAGTTCGGCTGGCTGAATTCAGGATAAAGGGAAAAAAAATACTTGCATATACAGGATTATTCGTTCCAGTGGCATATATGAAATTTCATTCTTGGACAGCCGGAACGGTTGGAACTCAGTCTAGCAATATTGTGGGAAGGTATTATGGGTATGGGGTTTGAGTTTCAATTCCACTATCTTTACATGAAACTACCCGTAACATGAAAGACAAGAGGTACAGACGCTGATACAGATGTGCATTTTCCACAGTCCCGTGTACGTACTTAAGGGTCAAAGTAAACAGTCACAGGTCAGAAGGGCATGCTGAAAATAATCGATTCGTGATATTGAAAGAAGCTATCAGTTTGTATCTAACACATTTGTCTTCGCTGTCCGTTATGAATTATAAGCCTACATAGAAATCAACGCTGTTGACACGATAACCAACCCCTTCTGAACATGACGAAAGCGACGACCAGTATTGTCCAACAGAGGGAGGTGACCTTGTGGTGTCGTCATGGGCCGTATGGGTCGAGGATGGGGAGGATGACTGCCATAGTCCTCGGCTGTCGGCCGTCTTTCCGTTACAGACGCCTCTGTTTTTTCTTACTCTGATTCTCAATCCTGTACGAGTGGTGGGTCACCCACAAAACTGCTGCTCCTGCTCATGTTGAAGGGCATTTCCGTGTCCTCAACTTCCGTTTCACTGGCCTCTCCCATTTCCTCGTCGGAGTTATTACTGCTGCTGGAAGGTTGTACTTCAATGACCTCTGTCTTCACCGATGGCGCCTGTTCTCCTTGATCCCGCGATTCGTTTTTGTTTCCCCCTTCTTCTTCTTCGCCTGTTTTGCAGACTTCCATAACATCCGTTTTGGCCTGTGCCCATCCTTGCTCCGATTCGGTCTTGGTATTCTCCTCCGTTTTCCAGAGCTCCATCGGATCTGGTTTCTCTTCTTCCATCTGGTGCCAGCCTTCTCCCTCTGGGTGATCGTGATAATTCCAATTTGGAGCCGGGCTGGGTTGCAGCGACGTCGAGATCAAGGGCTGCTCTCTCACAAGTCGCAGCATCTCCTGGTGATAATCGAAGTTCTCTGTGAGGATCGGTGAGCTTTTGGCCCTTCTGGCCCTTCCCGCTCCCAATGGCAAATCTTCATCTCTCCCGTTTTCATCAGGTGTTCTTGAGCTTGACGCCCTTCGACCACGCATCAGTTCGGAGCTAAAATCTTCTTTTCTAAATAGCACGTGTAGTTGGCGAATCAAGCCGACCACGATCGGGTCTAAGTTGCTGTCGGAAAGGCACAACGGTGGAGATTCGGTCTTCCACGCCTTGAACGTGAAAATCAACCAGCGAAGGGTTGAAACAGTGAGGGCCAAATGATACCGTGAGATGGCCTCGTTCGGCACGGCTAGATAGCGCTTGTTCTTGCCGTCGGAGGCTGAGTCGATATCCGCCTGATCTTGGCCGTCTTCCTCGATCGATTGATTACGCTCCAGAAAACCGAGTACTAAAACCTTTTCCCCGCCAATCATCTATTTTCGGCGGGCTGCGTTCGGGGTGGCCGCGGCTGCCTCAATGTCTGCTTGTATAACACGGGATTCCACGCGAAGCTTCTGGATCACCTCCTGTGATGGTGTGTTAGTTGCCTAACTGACGGGCTAAGTGAGGTTGTGTCGACAATCTTACAGCTAATGCCTCGGGCTTTACGCCATTTTCGATCATGGAAATGCAGATGGAGAGTGTTCTGCGGTCCAACTGACAGTTCTGATTGATGGTTAGCAGTCGAGTCGCAAGGAAGGTCACCAAGGCTGGCTTACTAGGATGGTGGAAATCTCATGGAGGATGTCTACCGCTTGCTGAGCGGCGGCCTGCTTTTTCGCTCTTCTCCATGGTGTAAAGATGGTATGTCCTGTTCTCGGATAATAAAAGTGATTCTTATGTTGTAACCGCGCGGTGCTACGTTTGGTGAGTTGAGCACTGATCGATGTGATGGTTTGAAGTTGAAGCGCGGGTAAAATAGAAATGGATCAGAAGGGATGAAAGTGAGGTAAAGTGTTGGTTTGTGTTGAGGTGAGGAATGGGGGACAGAGAGGAAGAGGTTAGCGGGCTTTTGTACTATCAATTTCCCCTGCAACGCCTAAAGCAAGGAAGGAACGAGCTGCTACAGCGGCATTCTACAGAGGCACCTTCCTTCCTCAACCACTGAGCGCACTTGCGTTCCCGCTCCTGCTTTGGACTAAGAAGTCACGCTCATCTGGCCCAGTGTCATTTGACCGCCAACGGGCAACAACGCCTGGAAGACCACAAAAATCAAGGAGGTACCTCTACTTGACAGTGCCTATAACCTCAGCAGGCGGTACTCGTATGACAATGAAAATAGTGATGGTAACAGTCTTCAAGGACCATCAATTCAGTCCAAGCTCACGGGCATCTCTACTACCCAGAACATCCAATACGCGGGGTATCTAACTGCAACTATCCAAGCTCTATCCGGGCCAGCTGAACTCAGATCAAGACTTCATAGACTCAACAAACAACTCTCTCATGCCCTTGAGTAGTACCACGAGCTCTCTAGTCTCATTTACCCGGTCCAGCACTTTTTCCACCTTCTCCCTCTCTAGCTTTGGCCTACAATGCCTCACATCGTAGTCCCTCCCACTCATACTCAGCTCGAACCATGCCTCCCGCTCCCAGTTCCTCTCATCAATGTGCGTGTACACAAACTTGAGCCTGTCCTCTGCTCCGGCACCCTCGATCCGCATGCACAGGTTCGTTACCCAGAAATCCAGTTCTGGCACGTTGTACCTTGCCTGCGCCTCCAGTTGCGCAGCGTGCGCCCTTTGCGCTGCTAGACGCGCATCAATCTCCCTTTGTGTAGCAGCAATTTGCTCTTTCAAAGCGTCGCGCATCGCGGCTTGTTTATCGCGCTGTTCCGTGAGCGAAGCGATGGCTTGTTGCATCTCGCGTGTTTCGGCGGCCTCCTTAGCCATGGTCTGTTGGTAGGTGTTCGTTTTGAGCTGGAGGATTTCAATGTCCTTCTTCTTCATGCGCTGGTCCTCTGTTACAGGGAGCCGAATGTTAGTATCATGATGCGCCCTAGTAGTACTTCCAACATGTTGGATGACACGTACCCTGAAGCTCTGCCACGTTCATCCTAAACTGGTTCCTCTCCTCCAGCACGCGCTTGCGCCCTTGCTCGATGAAAGCGTCGAACTTTGCTGTGAACTTGGCCATGCGATCGCGCAGCTCATCGAAGCCAAAGTTGATGCTGGGTAGGGTATCGGCCAGCGATGGGCCGAGGGGCTGTCGGCTAGTCGACATCGATGATTCGAACGTAGATGACATGGCGCTTTTTCGTGACATTTTGATGCTTATCGTTAAAGTTATTGCTAAATGTAGTATGTTGCGTTTTTCCGACAGTATGCGGTGCGATCGAAAGCGTTGCGACGCGACTCGGGACAACGTGGTTGGTGATGGTTGCTCTTGAAGGTGGGGGACCTTTGACAAGTTCTTGACATGTTTACGTCCCTTCCATTTCAGGCATGGTCTCCTGGGGATTTGGATTCTGTGCCGGGCTTCTTTCTGATTGGCTGTTGCAGCTTCCAAGGTACGTACCTTCTTGCAGAACGTTCAATAATGAATCGGCCCCACCAAAAAGTTCACGGTGGACCCATGCATTTTCTCTTGCAAAAAGATAAAAACGAGAAGCTGGTCGCGTTCCTCATTTTCCTCTTGTTTTCTTCCCTTCCACAGCATTTCTTTGCTTCCAACATACCCCACCAACCACCACGGTCAGGACTCAATGCGCCGGCGCACTTGAGCTCCTACCTCTAATACATTCTTTTTTGTTTGCCAGACCAAGTCGCAAACACCGATCATTCGGTATCGGGGGAGAAATGATCCCGCCGAGCACTCCGTCATCGCGAGCTACCCTCACTCCGAGAGCTCCGAATGGCTGATCGACATGGTCATACCCGCCCCGTCGGCCGCACCCATGCTATGAGTCGCCCTCGCGCTCATGCTGGTGGTATCGTCGGGCGGTTGACCTACATTCCCGCTCAAATCAACAAAGGCACTGGTCAACTTCGCAAAGATCGTGCCAGAGATGAGAGTAAGCTGATCCTCACCTGCTCCTCACGTTGGGATTCCGGGACTAACCAACTGAATCGTTAGTTCCTCAATTCCAACAAGTGACGCCTTTCAATCAGTGGTCCGCGCCCACCAAGACAGCCCTTCCTGACCTCGCCAGCTTGGGTCCATCCCAACTTGCCAAGTCTCAGAACAACTGGCTCCTTAAAACTCTCCCAGAGGCTTTTCTCGGAGATGTCGATACCGAGACGCTGCTCATCGATGAGATCAGCAACACGTACTCGACCACTCATCCCCCGCCGCCACCCACCGCCTCCCTTCTGGCTACTGGAGAGATCACCGATGTCAGAGACCCTGATAGAGTCAAGGGTCACACGGTTCTCGCTACTGCTAGTGGAGAGTCGGGGCACGTTCTTCGCTTGATCAGTCTCGCCCGTGAAGAGTGGAGCTGGACAGATGAAGATGTTAAGATTCGTCTTCACGTCCCGAACCACCATCTCGAAGGAGACTGGTGCCAGGATAGCGTTCCGATTTCATTGATCAAGTTCGTCAATGACAGCAAGAAGTACGACCAGGTTCGCTGGCTCATTGTTCAGAAACCTACTTCAACCACGGTCTGCGAACCTGAACTCAGAAAGCTGCCGGTGCAAAGCTCATCCTCCATCCCATCAACTTCCTCGCCCCTGACGCAACTTGTTGCCAACCCCTTGTTCACCATCACATCCGATCGATGCGGAGGGGGTTCTCACTCGGACGTCTCCTTCAATCTTTCTGATGAGCAGGTACCTCAGCTTGCCATCATTGATCAAGCCGGATATTGGAGCGTATGGGATATTGTTGGCCGTCGAGGTGCACGGCCCAAGGTGATGAAGCCGGTACTGAGAATGTGCGGCAACATCAACCTAGGGTTCATCCCAAAGTTCCCTGACAGGACAGCAGATGATCAGGAACCACATAGAATCATGTGGTTGTCTCTGAGAAGGGACAGATCCAATGATGAAGGTCGTCCAGGAAGTCGGTCAAAGAGTTCCTCGCGCGACAAGTCGAGGCAACGTCTGTCTCGGGCTAGCTTGCTTCTCCTCGGAAACAGCACTACTCTTTGCCTTTTCGACATGGAAACTCGCAAGTCCGAGGAGCAGCCTCATCTGCTGTCAGCAAAGAGGGGCGAACGTCTCTTGGATCTCGCCCCTTCGCACTTGGATCCGTCACAGGCCTTCCTTCTCACGAACACAACCATCTCATGGTTCTCTGTCAAAGAACATGGCCCTAGACTGCGGCTTGAGCCACTTGTCTTTTCACCTCACCGAAGGGACGTCCAAGATCCGGCACTGAGGCTCGAGGTGTCTCCAGGAACGTTCATAGATGGTGCTCTGGCCTGTTTCGTGTCGATCCGTTCCAGTCGAAATGGCGAAATCACCGTCTTTTGGTTCATCAGCCCCAGCTCAGGCAAGCCTCTTCGCTACCATCGAGAGTCAGTTCGCCTCAAAGCTTCATCCAAGTCCATCAGTGTCGCTATGCTTCCGGTCGAGCGACGAGTTGGCCAAGCAAAGCTCACAGCACCTCTCGCTCGTGCTCTTGCGAAGAGGCAAACCAGGTTCTTCCAGCTGGTTACGCTAGGACACGATCTGGATCTGGGCTGCTCGCTCTGCATGTGGTCTGACGAGCCTGGTGTGCGGGTGCGACCTCCAGATGAATGCGTAGGCCGTTCTGGCTTTGCATCGGAGAAGGTCAGGCTTCGGGAGCAACTGCGCGATGCATTTGCCTTACCAGATGAGTTTGACGACCGTTCCTTGGCCGGCGGTTCCCGAAGTCCGGAACTTGGCCGAGGTTCATCTGGAACTCTGAAAAGGGAACCAGATACCCTCAGTCTTGTGGTATGCGGGCGGGCATTGGCCGACAGGCTAGTGGTGCCCTTAACATCGAACGAGGCACGCCCATCGCAGAATGAAGATGACATTACTCGCATCGCCGAGGTCATCAGTCGTGAGACAAACAATGGCTATATGCCTAGACAATCTCTGTAAGTTGTCACCATTCACCCGTTGCACAACACCCGTCCATTATGATGATTTTCTCGAAAGAGAGGCTGTTTATGATCAACAATGATTACAAAAATACACCTATACATTGTTCTATTTCTGATCCAGGACTCACACTACCCACTTGTCATTCTTCATTTTTTTTCCGTCTGGACATATTGCTAACGCATTTGCGTCAAAAGACTCGATCTAGTGAAACAAACAAGAGGTGTGCAGGACGTCGTTCGACTCGCTTCACACTGGTCATCCCATCAACACTTGTTGCTCGAAGATGTTCCTGGGAGACTGGTTCCCACCAATGGCCGTCACGTCTTGAGTGATGATCTAGACCGGGCCTTTGAGCGGTTGATGAAGATGTTCTCCCATCTCCCCTCAAAGCGTGGAAAACCGTCTCAAGGGGCTCCCATTCCCAAGTTGCAACTGCTCGCTGCCGAGACTCTCCTCTCTGAGGCCGGAGTAGCGGCAGTACCTGAAGAATGGGCTGCAGCGGAGCCTTGGGATGGCACATCGAGTCAGAGCCAGCCATTTGCCAGCTCTATGCCTTTTGGCAGCTCTCCTCCTTTGTTCTCGTCACAAGTGCACTCCCAGTTCATACCCCCCTCTCAGTCGCAATCACAGTCTCAAGGCTATGATCCGACCCAGAGTCAAGAACAGCCGGGAGGTGAAGATGCAGTGGGCGTGAGACTACGCCAGTACGCAGCCATGAATCCCGTTTCCAGAAGAATTGGCGGTAGAACCCGGGTCACGTCTCACTGGGAGCTCGGCGAAGACCCCAATGTCGTCACATGGAAGCCAGGTCGGGACGATGAGGAGGATGATGCTGATCTCAGGAGAAGGCGCAAGCTCGAGGCAAAGCGCAAGAAGAGAGAGAAGTTGCTGGCGAGGATTCGCGGCGTTGAAGCCGTAAAGGCGGAAAGTCAACCTTTGCCGTTTGCCATTCAGTCGAGCCAGCTGAGAGGTTTTGCTTTCACGCAAAACAGTCAGCCGGAGTCGTCACAGTTTTTCGCATCGCAGCCGATGTCACAGATTGTTGCAGGACCACATGGAGGTAGGCCCTCCCATGTGAAGAAGAAGCAAAAAGTGAAGAAGCGTATGGGATTCAGATAGTTGGTAATATGACTGTTGGCAACCTCATGATTGTTTCTGTGTTTGCTGTTGATGATACTTGAATGCCCGCCCCTACGTGAGCTTTGCCTACATGTTGTAGTTCGTTTGCGATTCGAGTTTAGATGAGAACGTGTGGAAAACAATCGAACTAGGCAAAACCCGATCCTCGTATACGTTTTTATATCAAGGCAACTGATCTTACTATCGATCTTCCAAATACAAAAGCGCTGTGTCAATCGCTGTCGTTGAAACGGAGTTGTTGTTTGAATTCACCCGCTGCAAGAACCGAAGGTCAATTACGCAGGCCCGCGAGACAGTCGGTCTTGGCCCCTCACTTTCACCAAACTTCAAACAAACCACTCGGTCATCAATTCCAATTTCTGAAAAACTTGGCAACTCAGGGCATCCGGAACCTGATTCCCATCTGCGATATACTACAGCCAAGCCATCAAACACAATGTCGCACCACTGCCACGACGAACACGACGACCACCACCACCACCATGTGGGCGGGGCAGAGCACGACCACTCTGACGACATCACGCCCGCCGTGCAGTTCTCGCTGTACCAGCAAATCAACTTTGACGAGATCACCACGCTGAACGAGCAGGTGCACGGCTCCGGCAAGGCCATCCTCAAGAAGACGTGGGCGGAGAGATTGGAGACGGAGCCCGAGGTGGTGAGCGATGCTGATGAACAGCTGATTATTAACGTTCCGTATGTTGCATCTCACCAGTATCATCCATTCATCACTCATTCAATTCAGACACTCACCCACCCATTGCCTCGTTCAACCACGCCTTCCTTTCACTGGAAATTCACACATAAATCAATGAATTTTTTATACAACACGGATACTGACAAATTTACAAACAAAACAGTTTCACAGCCCAAATAAAACTCCACTCCATCCTCCTGCGCACCTCCCCCTCCCCTTCGGCCCCGCGAACCCTCCGCCTGCTCGCCAACGCCGACATCCACGATTTCTCCCAAGCCGAAGACTCCGCCGCAACCCAAGAGTTCGAGCTTTCCCAGACCTCGGAGATCCAGGAATTGCCCGTCAAGCGAGCGCGGTTCAACGCCGTCCAACGGTTGTGCCTGTTCTTCCCGGATAATTTTTCCCAGGGAGAAGAAGACGAGACGAGGATTAGTTATGTCGGGTTCAAGGGGGAGTGGATGACAAGGGGACAGGCGCCAAAGAATATCGTTTATGAGGCAGCGGCTAGGCCGACGGATCACGCTGTGAAGGGAACGGATGTTAGGGGGGTTGGACGTACTAATCAGGGACAGTGAGGGATGGGTCGATCCAAGGTTTTAGAGGTGGATGAAGGTGTTGGTGATCGGATGGGCCAGGCTTTTTTTTGTCAAGATCTGCTGCTTTGCTTTGGGTCAGAGTTGAGAAAGGGGTTGACGATGGTTTCTAAACATTTGTGAAAAGGGAATCCAGACCATAAGTAGTAACTTGCAAATCCCAGGTTTTTGTTCTTTTGATTTCCACGAAATTTACATAAAATCATCCTCCCAGGTCTCATCCCGATCCTGGTTGCTCGACATCATCATGTTCTCCTCAGCAAAGAGCTCGTCGTAAGCATGATCCTTCTGCCACTTCTTCTCGGCCCGCTCCTTCTTCAGGCGATCCTCCTCCTTCTTGCGCGCCAGCACCGCCGCCTGGTCCTTCTTGCGCAGCTCCTTCAGGTGGTTCTCCTTCTCCTCTCGCAGGTCTGGGTGCTTCTCGACCTTGGTCTTGTTCAGACGGTTGACGATGGGGTTTTCACGCTGCGCAATCAAAATGCGCTTCACCTTCTTCTGGTCCTTGAAGCTGACCTGGCCGACGGCCATGCTTCCGTCCTTCTTGAGGTTGGACCATGGCGTGTAGATGATTGAGATGTTGTCCTTCTTGTTACCTTTACGAGAGTAATATTATTAGTCTTCAAAAGGAGCTCGCCACGACCTGATAGCAACGCAGAATGCTCACCCTCGATGGAGTTGGCCTTGGTCAACTGACCAAGGTCAGTCAGGAGCTCCTCAGGAATGTTATCCCATGTCCAACCCTGTGGGAGACGAAGGTAGATATGGGCACTGGAGAGTTTGTCGACGTGGAACTAAGGCCAAGTAATGAGAAACTATCATGATATGATGGTAAAGGCGTGGCTTTCATACCCTATGAGTAATAGTTAGTAAAAAAAAAGAACGTGAACTGAGACTTGGCTGGGGCGATACGTACCAGACATCTTCCTCCCAGCCGTGCTTAATCAACTCCTCGTCTATAGTTATAACATGTTAGATTCATGATGATAGGACATACACATTTGAGTATGATATGCAGTATCCATCGACATATAACAGCATATGCGGGTTCCGCAACAAGATGCAACATTTGGTGGATGATGATCGTTTTTCACATACTCTCAAACTTGTCTTTCCCCACATAAACGAAAGCCGGGGGATCAACAACGGTCGAGGTGAAATAGAAGACCATGGTTGCTGATGTTGGTGAGTAAGAAATGAAAGATGAGAAATGGGGTATCTTGAAAAAAAAAGAGGTGATAATGAAAGAGCACTTTCGTGCAAGAAGAGAAACCAAAATGCAAAAAAGAAACGCAATCTCTTTTCGGGGTTGGTGGGTGGTCGAGTGAAGATGTTTTGTTAGCGGTTGAGTTTGGGGATCCAATGCGTTAAAATGCGCCCGCGCTCCAGCGAAGGGGAAGGGAGTCAAAACAAGCACACAACCCTAACCCCCCTCTGTTGAAATGTTGCACAACACCGCCGAAGTGGCCGCCTGTGAGTGGCCACCCCTCCCTTGTCAATTGTGAATCCCCGGATGCCGAACCGATCGACGTTATCGGGGGGGGGGCATCCCGTTACTGAATTTCTGGCTATCAAATTTCTGCTGCTCCGTGCTTCGAGCCGGCCACCACCACACTCCCGCACCCGCCCCAAAACCACCTCAACGGCCGCGCGCCGAATCCCGACCTTTCAACTCCGC